TTTTTTTTTTTTTTTTTTTTTTTTTTTTTTTTTTTTTTTTTTTTTTTTTTTTTTTTTGCTACTAGACCTGGGCTCTGGAACAGTTGTCTTATATTTAGCAGGTGGCATGGTAGCTTTGTTCTGAGGGTGTGACAGGGACAATGTAGTCATAGTCTCAGCAAAGCCATCTGGTTATACTGTTTCTCCATTCACCTATTGCCAGGCATCTTGATTGCAAGGTTTAGCCTTTGTGAGAAAAGGAGCTAAAAACTAATATGCAAATGTTCATAAGACATACACGTTTTTATGTCTTGGGAAGACACTGAAAAGGCTGATTGCCAGTTTTGCAGAAAGCAAATCTAGTTCCCCAGTCAAGCTGTCTTGAATGATTGCATGTCTGCAGGCCAGAAGAGGGCACCAGACCTCATTACAGATGGTTGTGAGCCACCATGTGGTTGCCGGAAATTGAACTCAGGACCTTTGGAAGAGCAGGCAATGCTCTTAACCACTGAGCCATCTCTCCAGCCCCTGAGACAGGAGGATTTTGAGTTTAAGATCAGTTTACACTACACGGGGAGAACCTGTTTCAAAACAAATAAACAATAAGGTGAAAAAGTACACCAGTCTAGGGAAAATCAATACTCAGGAAAGTAAGTGTCCTCATGTTCTTCAAGGAAGGAAAACGTGAAAATCAAGGACAAGTTCACCCATGACTGCATTTACACACACTACAGCTTCAAGCGACAAAAGACATTTGCACATGGCCCCACAAAGGCCACCAGCAAAGCATAGTGGTATAAACCTTTCATCCTGACTACCTGGAGACAGAAGCAGGAAGATTACAAGTTTGAGAATAGCCTGGGAAATATGAGAGTCTACATCTATAAAATGAAATGAGATTAAATAAAAATAAAACAAGGTCCACAAAGCAGCCACAGTATTTTAGTGGTGATTTCTAAATTTTGTCAAAGTTTCTAAATTCAGTGGCAAAAGTTGGTTCTTCCTAGATACTGGCCAAAGTACGCTCTTCTCCAGAGAGGCCTTCTTAGAAGTAGCTCCAACAAGGAGAGAGCGGCAAGAGCATGTGGGCATTGTGGCCTTTAAGGCATGACTGTTCAATACAACATTCTATGATGATGGTCTTTTTTTCTTTGCTTTTTGAGACTGGGTCTTTCTAAATAATCCTGGCTATCCTAGAACTCGAAATATAGACCAGGCTGGCTAAAACTCATGGAATCCCTTGTGCCGACCCCTCCTGAGAAGATGACTGTCTTTAGCAGCACTATTAACCATACCACTAGCCACAGACAGGTGCTGTGCTTCTGAAATGTGGACGAGTACACATCAGGGGAACTTAGAATTAAGTTTTATTTCACTTCAATTAACTTAAATTGCCACAAAGAAAAGTGGGTAACAGCACTGGACAGCTGAGAGTCACTCTTTCCTTCCAATTTGTCAGTAACTCACTGCAAAGCTTAAGAAACAAGGAAGAGTCAACACAGAGCTGAAGGCCCTAAGTCACAGTTTCCCATCCATAAGGAAAAAAGACAGGGGCATCAGATTTCCAGAGTAGGAAAGAACAAAAATGCTCAAAAAGAATTCTGAAAAACTGAGCCAGGAGCCGGATGTAGACAATTAATATTTAAAACATGATTTTCCTAACATATTAAAAGATTAAAATGGGAGCTGGAGAGATGGCTCAGTGCTCTTCCAAAAGACCTGAATTTTGCTCGCAGCACCCACATGGTGGGCTCACCAACAATTATAACTCCAGTTACAGAAGATCTAATGACCTCTTATAGCCTCTGCAGCATGCATAAAGTGCAACAAACTTCACACATACATATAAAAAAACAAGTAAATAAATCATTTTTTTAAAAAAGTGGTGCCAGGAGTGGTGGCACAAACATTTAACAGCAGCACTCAGGAGGCAGACAGATCTTTGTGAGTTTGAGTTCAGCCCCGTCTACAAGGTGAGAACCTGTCTCAAAGGTTAAAATAAATAAAATAAATGAATGAATGAATGCCAGGCATAAATGCACCAGAGGCAGACACCTTTAATCCCAGCACTTGGAAGGTAGAGGCAAGTGGAGCTCCGTGAAGTCAAGTGAGACTATATTGTGAGATTTTATCAAAACAAAACAAAACAAAACAAAAACAAACAAAAAAAAAACAGAAGGGAGAAAAAGAGAAAGGAAAGAGAGAGAGAGAGAGAGAGAGAGAGAGAGAGAGAGAGAGAGAGAGAGGAAGGAAGGAAGGATAATAAAAATAATGTTTGTCCAATTAAATACTGGAAGGAAATTTTTTTTGAATTAAAACTGAAATCATCTGCTTGGTGGTACTGGTGCATGCGTTTAATCCCAGCACTCAGGAGGCAGAGGCAGCAGGCAGATTTCTGTGGGTTTGAGGCCAGCCTGGTCTACATAGTGAGTTCCAGGAAAGCCAGAAATACACAGTGAAACCCTATCTTGAAACACCAAAAGCAAGTGAAAACATTTATGCAGAGAACTACCATTCTATGTAAAAGTTACTGAATGTGTTCTCTTGCCTTTTCCCCCATCACACTTGTATCTTCCAAGGAACTGCATAGAACCTCCTTGCATGAATTACTAAAAAAGATTTCCAGAGCATATTAGAGAAGTTATATATAAGCTTTATTTATTTATTTATTTATTTATTTATTTATTTATTTATTTAAGACAGGGTTTCTCTGTTGCTTTGGAGCCTGTCCTGGAATTAGCTCTTATAGACCAGGCTAGCCTCAAACTCAGGGAGATCCACGGGCTAATTTGATTCTTGATCACCCACATGCATCCAGGACAGATATTAACCTTTATCCCCATTACAGATGAGGAAACTAGAGAGTCAAATGAAGTCAGAGGCTTATAGTTTCTAGTGGCCAAACCAGATCTCAAAAGTTGCTCAACATTTTCCAAGTTCTATGCTCTGCCCAGTGTACACACCTCACTAAAGAAACAACTCAAAAGGCACATAACGCTGGTAAAGAGAGACTCCTAAACAGACTCAAGCAGCAGTCTGTGATCAGAAACGGACGGTTACTAAAACATTTAACCTGTCAGTAACTGCGAATCTTCAGTGTCAGAGCTGTTTTCTGCTTTGCTCTCAAATCCGTTTCTAATCACTCCTGTCCCTGCACGTATGTGGTGGCTTACTAAGGTAGGTAAACAGCTGACAAAACCAGTGTAGAGGGCCAGGGACATGGCTCAGCAGGTAAGGGCACTTGCTGCCAACCCTCAATTCCATTCTGGAACCAACAATAAAAGGGGAGAACAAAATTCATTTGGTTTGCTCCTCCTACCCCCCAAATATAAGAATTTGATTCTTATTGAGATCTACAAAAATTTTTCTCTGCTCCCCTCTCTGCCTTTCCCCGCCCTTTCAACCTTCTCCCAAGGTCCCCATGCTCCCAATTTACTCAGGAGATCTTGTCTTTTTCTACTTCCCATGTACATTAGATCCATGTATGTCTCTCTTAGAGTCCTCATTGTTGTCTAGGTTCTCTGGAATTGTAATTTGTAGGCTGGGTTTCTTTGCTTTATGTTTAAAAACCACTTAGGAGCATATGTGATAATTGTCTTTCTGGGTTTGGGTTACCTCACTCAAAATGATGTTTTCTAGCTCCATCCATTTGACTGCAAAATTCAAGATGTTATTTTTTTTCTGCTGTGTAGCACTCCATTGTGTAAATGTACCACATTTTCCTTATCCATTCTTCGGTAGAGGGGCATTTAGTTTGTTTCCAGGTTCTGGCTATGACAAACAAAGCTGCTATGAACATAGCTGAGCACATGTCCTTGTGGCACTATTGAGCATCCTTTGGATATATACCCAAAAGTGGTATTGCTGGGTCTTGAGGAAAGTTGTTTCCTAATTTTCTGAGAAATCACCAAACTGATATCCAAAGGGGTTGTACCAGCTTGCACTCCCACTAGCAGTGCAGGAGTGTTCCCTTTTCCCCACAACCTCTCTAGCGTAAGCTGTCATCAGTGTTTTTGATCTTGGCCATTCTTACTGGTGTAAGATGGAATCTCATTTCCTTAAGTGTCTTTCAGCCATTTTAGATTCCTCTGCTGAGAGTTCTCTGTTTAGGTCTGTACCATTTTTTTTTTATTGGATTATTTGTTCTTTTGATGACCAATTTCTTGAGTTCTTTGTATATTTTGGTGATCAGACCTCTGTCTGATGTGGGGTTGGTGAAGACCTTTTCCAATTCTGTAGGCTGTCATTTTGTCTTGTTGACTGTGTCCTTTTACAGAAGCTTCTCTGTTTCAGGAGGTCCCATTTATTAACTTTTTCTCTCAGTGTCTGTGCTACTGGGGTTATATTTAAAGACTGGTCTCCTTTGCCAATGCATTCAAGTGTACTTCCCACTTTCTCTTCTATGAGGTTCAGTGTAGCTAGCTTGTCTTTGATCCGCTTGGACTGGAGTTTTGTGCATGGTGATAGATATGGATCTATTTTTTCTTCTACATGTTGATATCCGACTATGCCAGCACCATTTGTTAAATATGCTTTCTTTTTTCCATTTGACATTTTTTGCTTCTTTGTCAAAAATCAGGTGTTCAAAAGATTGTGGATTAATATCTGGATTGTTTTGTCTATCCTGGGTTTTTTGCTTTGCCGTATGAAGTTGAGTACTGTTCTTTCAAGGTCTGTGAAGAATTTTACTGGGATTTTGATGGGCACTGCACTGAATCTAGATTGCTTTTGGTAAGATTGTCATTTTTACTATGTTAATTCTGGCTACCCAAGAGCATGAGAGATCTTTCAACTTTCTGATGTCTTCTTCAATTTCTTTCTTCAAAGATTTAAAGTTCTTGTCATACAAGTCTTTAAATTGTTTGGTTAGTTACTCCGAGATATTTTATGCTGTTTGTGGCTGTTGTGAAGGGTGATGTTTCTCTGATTTCTTTCTCAGCCCATTTATCATCTGTGTACAGGAGGGCTACTGATTTTTTTGAGTTAATCTTGTATCCTGCTACATTACTGAAAGTGTTCATGTTAAGTTCCTTGGTAGAATTTTTGAGGTCACTTATATAAACTATCATATCATCAGGAAATAGTGAGAGTTTGACTTCTCCTTTTCCAATTTGTATTCCCTTGATCTCCTTTTGTAGTCTTATTACTCTAGCTAGGACCTCAAGAACTACATTGAGTAGATATGGAGAGAGTGGATAACCTTGTCTTGTTCCTGATTTCAGTGGGATCACTGGGAGTTTCTCTCCATTTAGTTTGATTTTGGCTGTTAGCTTGCTGTATATTGCCCTTATTTTGTTTAGGTATGTTCCTTGTATCCCTCCCTGCTCTCTCCAAGACCTTTATCATGAGGGGATGTTATATTTTGTTGAAAGCTTTTTCAGCATCTAATGAGATGATCATGTGGTTTTTATTTTTCAGTTTGTTTATATGGTGAATTACGCTGACAAATTTTCATATGTTGAACCATCCGTGAATCTCTGGGATAAAGCCAACTTGATCATGGTGGATGATGGTTCTGATGTGTTCTTGGATTCGATTTGCCAGTATTTCTTTGTTTTGTTTTGGCTTTTTTTGAGACAGGGTTTCTCTGTAGCTTTGGAGCCTGTCCTGGAACTAGCTCTTCTAGACCAGGCTGACCTTGAACTCACAAAGATCCCCCTGCCTCTGCCTCCTCAGTGCTGGGATTAAAGGCATGCATCACCACCACCCACCTAGATTTATTTATTAGTTTATGTGAGTGTTTTGCCTGCATGTATACCTGTGTACCAAACTTTTGCCTGGTGCTTAAGGAGGTGGTGAGTCTCTGTGGGTACCGGGAATTCAATCCAGGTCCTTTGAAACAACAAGTGCTATTAACCACTTCAGCCCTAAATCCAGCATATCGTACTTTGACACCTACGTGTGCACACACAAATACACAAATACACACAACACAAATAAATAAATATTTGAAAGAAAAACCAAATTGGGAACATGTTAATAATCAGTAGATCTAAGTAAAGACTTGACAGATATGTTTGTTACTGCTTCTTACATCTTTTCTCTAAGTCTGAAATTTTCCAAAAAAAAAAAAAAAAGTTTGAAAGAAAAAAAAATACCTGCTGTCTTTGTCTGTTCTTTCATTTATGAGAGGAATCCATCGGCTTGTTACCTAAAACGAAAATAAGTAGTAGTTACGCCATGATGGAGATCTTCTTTGAAAAGCTGGACACCTTTAATCCCATCACTCAAGAGGTAGAGGCAGGAAGATTTCTGAGTTCAAGGCCAACCTGGAGTTCCAGGCAAGACAGGGTGGCATCCTGAGATTCAGATTCAGTCTTAAAAAAAAGCCAGGCAGTGGTGGCGCAAGCCTTTAATCCCAGCACTCGGGAGGCAGGCAGATCTTTGTGAGTTTGAGGCCAGCCTGGTCTACAAGAACTAGTTCGAGGACAGGCTCCAAAGCCACAGAGAAACTTTGTCTCAAAAAAACCAAAAAATAAAAATAAAAATGTGGCAGGCTGGGCAGTGGTAGCAGATGCTTTTAATCCCAGCACTCAGGAAGCAGAGACAGGCAGATCTCTGTAAGAACGAGTTCCAAGAAAGGTTCCAAAGCTACAAAGAAACCCTGTCGGAGCTGGAGAAATGGCTCAGAGGGTAAGCGCACTGGCTGCTCTTCCAGAGGTCCTGAGTTCAAGTCCCAGTAACCACATGGTGGCTCACAACCATCTCTAATGAGATCTTGTGGCCTTGTTCTAGTGTGCACGTGGGTAGAACACTGTATACATAATAAAGAAAATCTTAAAAAAAAAAAAAAAGAAAAGAAAAGAAACCCTGTCTCAAGGGGCTGGAGAGGTGGCTCAGCAGTTAAGAGCACTGGCTGCTCTCCCAGAGGTCCTGAGTTCAATTCCCAGCAACTATATGGTGGCTCACAACCATCTGTAATGAGATCTGGTGCCCTCTTCAGGCCTGCAGGCAGAATACTGTACACATAATAATAAATAAAATCTTGAAAGAAAGAAAGAGAGAGAGAGAGAGAGAGAGAGAGAGAGAGAGAGAGAGAGAAAGAAAGAAACCCTGTCTCAAAACCCCCTCCTGCAAAAAGGTGGCAGAACAAAAAAGAAAAAGCATACTTTACTAAAAATTATTATATGATTATGAATGTTCTGTCTGCAAGTGCATGCCTGGTGCCCAGAGGCCAGAAGAGGGTGTCAGAGCCCCTGGAACTCAAATGGAGTTACAGGCGAAGAGTAGACTCTGAGTCATTTTATTCTGAGTCATATTTCCTCTACTTTGTTAAGAGTCCTTAATGTCCCACTAAAACTAGGCAGGGTGGCACATATTTGGAATCCCAGGCTAAAGCAGAAAGATCATGATTTCTAAGCCAGCCCAGGCTACAGAGTAAGACCCTATCTTAAAATCAAAAACAAATCTGGAGCAGTGGCAGAGCACGCCTTCGATCCCAGCACTCTGGAGGCAGAGGTACATGGATCTCTGTGATATCCAGGCTAGCCTGATCTTCAGAGCTGGTTCTAGGAGACAACCAGGGCTACACAAAGAAACCCTGCCTTGAAAAACAAAAATAAAAGGACTCACCTCAAAATAAATAAATAAACCATATCACATTTAATTTAAATATAAAGAAAATTTAAATATACCTTATCAATAGAATGTTTATTGTTAACAGCATAAACTATGCAGATGACATTAGCCTAGAAGAAAAATAATAATAATAAATTAATGCCATGTTGAAATAAAATATACACAACAGGATTTAATTATCAACCATCTAAGATTTGAGCCAAAGGAAGAAATTTTTTGAAGCCTGTTTATAAGAAAGTATCCCTCAAGAACTAGAGCAAAAATACAGACTCAAATACCAATGATAACAACAAAGAGTTGAGAAATTCCTGTTAAACGAGCATGGTAGCAACATGCCTATACAGCACTCAAGAAGTGGAGGCAGGGGGAATCAATACAAGCCTTAACTACACTGGGAATTCAAGGACAGTCTGAGCTACAAGAAACTGTCTCAATCCACAACTGCCCCCAAGAAGACAGACTCATAGGATTATCACTGTTCATGTACATGTGTACACACACACAAAATAACTTTTTTACACATACCTGTGATATTTCTTGATGAAGTTGTTCATCACTCTGTTCTGCTTCTATAAATGATAAAAGTCAGAATTTTGTATTTCAAAAACTTTCATAACTAATAATCAAGCCAAAAAAAAACTATGTAATATGCACCTAAAGAAATTGACATAGATGGTCCTACAGTTAAGAGCACTTGTTGCTGTTTGAGAGGACCTCGATTTGGTTCCTAGCACCTACATAGCAGCTCGTAACTCTAACTCCAGAGTCAAGGGATCCAACAACCTCTTCTGGCCTCCATAGGCACTAGGTATGACTGTGATACATTTATATACCTACAGGCACAGATACATACTCATAAAAATTAATAAATATTCAAAATGATATAGTATAGAACAAGTTAAGTTACCAAAATAAGAATAATCCAGAAGAAAAAGCTGAACCAAGATAAGGAAGGTGGTTAGTAAGGAAGGAGTATTGGAGAGGATTCGAGCACTGAAGGGCAGAGGCACTGTATCATAAAGATCTAGGCCAGTATCTGGTGTAGAGTTGAAAAAGGATCAGGAAGCCGGGTGGCGGTGGCTCACACCTTTAATCCCAGTACTTGGGAGGCAGAGGCAGGAGTATCTTTGAGTTTGAGGCCAGCCTGGTGGACAGAGTAAATTCTAGGACAGTCAGGGCTGTTACACAGAGACACTCTATCTTGAAAATGAAAAAAGAAAAGAATAAGGGTCAGGCTAAAGAGATCAGCAACTCGAGAAAGAAGACTGAGTACTTACTTCAGTGCCAGAAGCTCAGACAAGAATCTGGACACAGAGCCCAAGACTAGACACTATCAGCAGAGTGGATACGAGCAATAACAACAAAGGCCCAGAGGCAAAACTACGGCCTGAGAATGAAGAAAGAAGAGCTTTTCTTTCTTGACTGGTAAGATGACTCAGTGGATAAGAGTTCTTGCTGCCAGGCCTGAGCTCGATCCCTGGAACCCAACATGGTCAAAGAAGAGACTCAAATCCAACAAGGTATCCTCAGACCTCTACACACATGGCAGCTCACTGATATCCACATACATACTAAGTAAGTAACTAAACTCAGTAATATGTATAATTGACAATCATCAGAAACAGTAAGATGAACTCTGTGTGTCTTTGGAGTGAACATGTGTACATGTCTGTGCATGTACATGTGTATGGAAACTAGACATTGATGTCAGGTGTCTTCCTCTATCATTCTCACTCTTTTTCCAGACTGGTATGTTTACTGAACTCGCAGCTCATAAACTGGCTCAACTGGCTGGCCAGTGAGCTCTGAGATGTGCCTGGTTCTGCCTCTTCCCAGTGCGGGCATTACTGCCAAAGTGCCCAGCTATCAGATACCCGAACTCAGGTCCTTATGCTTGCTCAGCAAGGCAAGTGTACACATGTTCACTTACTGAGCAATCTCCCCAGCTTCCAAAGTAGCCATCTTGTTGAATTCTTTATGTGTTCTTAAATTTCTAAAACCTTTTGTTACATATAGAATTCCTGGCGACCAAAATCAGGGCTAGGAAAATACTTTGTAAATGAGTTACAGCCACAGCCCCTCAACGAATTTAAAATTCAGAATCTACTTATATGAATATATATGTGTGTAAGGTATACATGCATATGTATATGCATAGTCACATTTGTGTGACTACAAGTGTACATACCGCAGGTGTCTGCAGTGGCCAGGGGCACTGAATAACCCTGAGGCTGGAGTTACAGCCACCCGATGTATGTGCAAGGGACTGGATTCAGATCCTCAGCAAGAGTAGTATATGACCGAGTCAAGTGGTGGTGGCACACGCCTTTAATCACAGCCCTCAGGAGGCAGAGGCAGGTAGATCTCTGAGTTGAGGCCAACCTGGTCTACAGAATAAATTCCAGGACAGCCAGGGCTACACAGAGGAACTGTGCCTCAAAAAAAAAAAAAAAAAAAAAAAAAAAAAAAAAAAAAAAAAGAGTAGTATATGATTTTGTTTTGTTTTTATTGAGCTATACATTTTTGTCCGCTCCTCTCCCTTTCTACCCTTTTCCAGGACCTCCAATCTCCCAATTTACTCAGGAGATCTTGTCTTTTTCTCGTTCCTTGTAGATCTATTTATGTCTCTCTTAAGGTCCTCTTTGTTGTCTAGGTTCTCTGAGGTTGTTAACTGTATACTGGTTGTTCTTTGCTTTATGTCTAAAAGCCACATATGAGTGAGTACATATTATATTCATCTTTCTGGTCTGGGTTACCTCGGCCAATACAGTTTTCTCTAGAGCCATCCATTTGTCTGCAAATTTCAAGATGCCATTATTTTTTACCGCTGAGTAGTACTCCACTGTGTAAATGTACCAAATTTTCTTTGTCCGTTCTTCAGTTGAGGGGCATCAAGGTTGTTTCCAGGTTCTGGCTATTATGAGGTATGATTGAGCATCCTTTGGGTATATACCCAAAAGAGGTATTACTGGGTCTTAGTGGTATGTGATCTTAAACACTGAACTTCTGAACATTTTTAAAAGCTCAGGTAGGTTCTATTTTCAGGGCTATTAAAAATTAACTCCAGAGCCTCACTCACAAGAGACCACCGATTTTACCTGAATAATCGACAATGTGTGTTGGAACTCTCTCAGGAGTGACATCAGCTGGAATGGTGATTTCTTCTGCCCGAGGAGGAACCTTTATTTAAAAACAAACACAAAAAAGGATAAATGTGGAGAAATTATCCATCAAACTTACTAACAGAGCATGTAGATTTATCTGTATCAGGCCCTTCTTTGAAAGCTATTATGTCAGGTATGCACTATGTTCTAAAATGCTTTCATCAGGGTGCTTTATCATATAAAACTACAAAATAACCACATTTTTAAAAATTTTTTTTATTTACATTGGTGTTTTTTTTTAATTGAGAATAAGAAAAAAAGTTTCCGCCTCCTCCCAGCCTCCCATTTCCCTCCCCCTCCCCCCAACATTGGTGTTTTGTCCACATGTATGTCTGTGTGAGGGTGTCAGGTCCACCAGAAATGTAGTTACAGAGAGCTGTGAGTCACCATGTGGTTGTTGGGAACTGAACCAGATCCACTGGAAGAGTAGTCAGTACCCTTAAGTGCTGAGACATTTCCCCAGCCCCATAAAAACATTTAAGGACCAGCAAGATGGCTCAGTAGATAAAGATGCTTGCTGCTAAGTCCAACCACCCAGGTAATCAGACCTTTGATGCCCAAAACCCTCATGGTAGAAAGAGAGAACTTACTCCCAACAAGTTGTCCTTTTGCCTCCAAATGTGCACTGTGGTACATATGCACATAGACAGATAACTGTAGTAGGTACCAAAGAGTTCCATAAAAGCCCAGAATGGAGTATAACAAAGGTTTATTTATTTGAGGATAAATTCACAGTGTACTGGGAACTGGAACCAAATCCAGCAAAGAGGGACACGCACGCACGCTTCTTGTCTGCACTTATAGTACATGAAACCATGCCCAAAGTGGGCAGGTAAATTAAAGGCTATAGGCTGAAGGAGTTCCCACAACATATAACAAATAAAAATGTAATAAAAATTAACAAAAATTAAAAAAATTAAAAACCAAGAAAAAAGTAAGTTTCCAGCAGAGATATAGCACAATGGTAGAGTGCTTGCCTAGCAAAAGTCCAGCCCCTAGGACACAGTCAGAGGCTATAATAAGGACATCTCGAGTGTTTCACAAACTTAAAACAATTCTTAATTTTGTATTCAAATATTAGAGGTTTTTTTCTTTTTTTTTTTTTTTTAAATGTATGGTTCTCAGGGCCTGGAGAGATGGCTCAGAGGTTAAGGGCACTGGCTGTTCTTCCAGAGGTCTTGAGTTCAATTCCCAGCACCCACATGGTGATTCAATACCATCTATAATGAGATCTGGTGCCCCTTCTGGCATGTGTATACATAATAAATAAATTTATTAAAAAACATGATTCTCATTCTGTTTTGTTGAGAATTTAAAACACTTTGCAAATAAGGAGCTATGTTAATCCAAGGCAGTCCTGACGAGTGTAACTCGGGGGTGGAGAACTTGTCTAGCACATGCAACTTTGGGTTTAATCCTCAGCCTGACAAAACCCACAAAAATACAAAACAAAAAAACCTTCAAGGTAACCAATAAATATTAATTTTATGTAGGCTAGATAACCGGTTGGCTAAGGTAGCCTGTGTTTAATAATTCCACATTTCAGAAAGATGCACAGTTTTAACAAAACTGCAAAGTGTGGTGGCTCGATCCTTTCTTTTTGATTATCTTTTATGTGTATGGGTTCTGCTTACATGTGTATCTGTGAACCACAAGCATGCCTGGTGCTCTTGGAGGCTGGAAAAGGGCACTGGATCCCCTAGAGCTTGAGTTACAGACAGTTATGAGCCACTCTCTGGGTACTGGAAATCAAACCCAGGTACTGTGGAAGAGCAGTCAGTGCTCTTGACTGCTGAGCCTTTTCTCCAGCCCCAACTGCATGATTTTCAATTAGGGGAAAAAGCCATATTCACACAAAAGAGGAATACCCTTAAACAATTTTAACTTCAGTTAAACATTTAAAATTTATTTCTTCTCTTCTTCTTCTCTCTCTGAAACTCTTTCTCTCTCTTCCGCCATTCCTGTCCCCAGATGCCAGTCTTCCCTCACCCTTCTCTCTTAATAAAACTTCCCACATTAAAAAAAAATATATATATATACATATACATATATATATTTGAGACGGGACCCCACCATCTCATTATGCAGTGTTAGCTGGACTGGAACTCACTGTGATTCATTAAATTATTATTTGATTCTTCGTTAATGCTAGGGGGAACAAAGAAAAAAAGCAGCCATAGAATTATGAACGCTGAAAATGCTACCAATGAGAGATAAAGCTCTTGCTTGCTATGTTCGAGACCCTGGATTCAATCCCAGCCACAAGAATCCAGAAAAACAAAGACACTGCCTAGCTCAGCAATAAAACCATAAGGCTATGCCTTTCTAAGAAGAGTAAGGAAAGGGTAAAGGCAAACTCTAACATTCATTTTATTTTTAATTGTGTGTGTGTGTGTGTGCACATGCACTTATATGCCACATGTGTCGGGGGGAGAAGTGGATGCTCAGGAGCTAAAATTATAGTTATGAGTCATCTAACACGGGTGCTGGGAATTGAATGCGGGTCCTCTGGAAGAACAGCTCTTAGGTACTGAGCTATCTCTCTAGCCTCAGATTCTGACATTAATAATACTTTGGAAGAAACAAAAGATAAGCCAGGCCTATAATCTCACTATTTGGGAGGCAGAGGTGGAAGGATCAGAAAAAAAGTTCAAGACCAGCCATGCCTGCATACTAAGTTTGAGGCCAACCTGTGCTATGCAACCTGTGCTGTGCCTCAAAAAATAGAATAAACTGATGATAACAAAATCCAAATTTTTTTTATTTTTTTTTATTTTTTTTATTTTTATTTTTTTTGAGATAGGATTTCTCTGTATAGCATTGGAGCCTTTCCTGGAACTCACTCTGTAGTCCATGCTGGCCTCGAACTCACAAAGATCCACCTGCCTCTGCCTCCCAAGTGCTAGGACAAAAGGTATGTGCCATCACGCATGGGAAAATCCAAAATTTTGTTATGCTGTAGCACTGATGCTGCTTTCTCTAACAATACCATAACTTTACAGCATCTCCTCACACTGGGATTCCCAAAATGTAAATAAGTGTAGCCCAGTATGGTAGTGCATACATGCAGTCACAGCACCAGGAAGTGGAGGCAGAAGATCAGGAGTTCAAGGCCATCCTTCGCTACATGGTAAGTTTGAGGCTAGCCTGAGTTATATGAGACTCTGTCTCAAAATACCAATAATAGATATATTATACATACATACATATATATTATTAATAATACCAGCCTGTTCCTGGTAGCACCTCACTATTAATTTACTGTCAAACACAATTCTTTGGACCTGTAGGCAACATAGATGAATTCATTTCTAACTTGTGAAGCAGGTATATAATATTAGTTCTGTCAGGATTCTAGTAGTCAGACAAAAATATCTCACAAACTGACAGCTCCAGGCAGAAGATAAACGGTACCCAGATGGCAAATCTAGTTTCAATTCATACAACACTCAGCATCTCTTTCACGACTGGGGTTCTGGAAAACATTTTACTTTTAAGAACAGGTCACACAGGTGATCATTTTTGCTACCATTTTAAAAACAACTACGACAAAGAGATGACAAATGACACGACCATTGCTGGTGAGACAGCTCAGGGCCTGGCCAACAGGACTGACGGTGTGAAGCTGACACTGAGGCTCCCGTGGAAGAAGTAGAGAACTGACTCACACTAGGTGTCCTGATAGCTGCTGTGCTGTGGCAAACACACACACAGTGTAAAATACAAAATTTTAATGACAAAGGCAAAGGCACAAAATGAGAACTTAGGCTCTTTCTTAAGGTGAAGTCCTCTATAAACTAATAAGAGCTTTTTAAAAGTCCTGACTTTTGGGAGCTGGAGAGATGGCTCAGTGGTTAAGAGCACTGGCTGCTCTCTCAGAGGACCCAGATTCAATTCCTAGTACCCACATGGCAGCTCACAACTGTCTGTACCTCCTGTTCCAAGGGATCTGACACCTTCACACTAATGTACATTAAAAAAAAAAAAGTCCTGAAGTCGGGCAGTGGTGGTGCACACCTTTAATCCCAGCACCCAGGAGGCAGAGGCAGGCAGATCTCTGTGAATTCAAAACCAGCTTGGTATACAGAGAGAGTTCCAGGACAGCCAGAGCGACACACAGAGAAACCCAAGTCCTGACTGGAAGAAACACATGAAGGTAATATTGACATTTCACTTTAACTTATTTTTCATAAATTTAAAAAAAAGGAACATAAAATGTTTACCTCTTCCGGAAATTCTTCACTGACCAGAGACATAATCAGTGATGTCTTCCCAACTCTAGCTGTTAAAAGAAGAAAAGTACATTACTTTAATAAGCTATTTTCGTCTCACAGGAAGCCAAATCCAGTAACCACATAGTTTATTAGCTCTTTGGAGAAAGAATAAGCCCATTTCACAGCATCACAAAATCTCCTGTAGCTCAGGTGTATCAGCACTTGCCTGTAATTCTTCCAACTACTTGGGGAAGCTGAGGAAATAGGACGTCAGGTGTGAGGAAAGAACAAAACAGTAACAAAAACCTTCCTGCATTACCTACTGAGAATTGCATAAGAACTGATCCTTAATATAAACTGTTTAATGTTCCCAAAAATTCCTAAATTTTCACTATTATAAATTATGCTTTTGTACACTATAAAGATTTGTCACTCATATTAGTTTAATAAAACGCTAATTGGTCATTAGCCAGGTAAGGCGATCAGACTAGGAGAATTCTGGGAAGAGGAAAGGCAGAGGAAGCAAGCTGAGAACGCATCACTGATAAAAGATTCCAAGCCACATGGCTAACCACAGACAATTTAAGTTTTAAGAGCTAGTTAGTAACAAGCCTGAGCTAATAGGCCAAACAGTTTATAATTAATATCAGTCTCTGTGTGTTTCTTTGAGACTGAATGGCTACGAGACTGGGTGAGACAGAAACTTCCATCTACAAATAGCATCCAGTGCAGGGCCTAGAGAGGAATATAAGACAGAAGAAGATAGCTCTCAGTCAGTCTCATTCTGAGGATTCCTGGAGGCAGGATTGCCTTTTTGGACTGAGGTAGAGGTAAGAGTCAGTGGCTGGCTGTTTTGCTTTCTTGACTTTCAAGTGGAACCCCAGTATCTGTCTCTGGGTTTTGATTAATTGTACTATAATTGGCACCCAGTGTTTGGGGCATGAAACTGTGACCCTAAGATTAAGAGTCTCATGCTCTACCAAATAACTGACCTAGCTGTGCTACCTTTCTTTGGATATATGTCTATCAAAATTCAAACTTTCCGTTTTGATCTGAATAATGTTTCAATTTTCCAAAGTGAACAAAAATTTTCCTACAATAATATCTGAAGTCTCCAGGAAGAAGATGGGGGCCTACAACAAAGATTACACCTGGTTCATATATTATCATACAGTTGATAGCACCACTTGAAGATCGCCACTGGACAACAAACTGCTCGGAAAAATTTCGAGGTGGATAGCTGAGATGATCCAGACTAACAAATTACTCTAACCAGGAGTTGAGACAAGCCCTGCACTTTCCCAATACACAGACTGGACAAAAAATGATACAGCTACCTCTCCCTGGACTTGACAACCAAAAAGATGATCTTTTTAGGATCACCTAAAGATACGGATGCCCTCAGAGAGCTGCAGAAAGACACTGGACAATGGAAAAAAACTTCTGAATTAAATCAGCTGGTGACCTCAGAATGGAAACCAGATGTGTTACGTTGGGGAAGGGGTTTCTCTCTTGTTTCCACAGAAGAAAAGCTACGGATACCATCAAAATTAATCAAGATTAAATTTTAGGGCTGGAGAAACGGCTCAGTGGTTAAGAGCATTGCCTGCTCTTCCAAAGGTCCTGAGTTCAATTCCCGGCAACCACATGGGGGCTCACAACCATCTGTAATGGGATCTGGTGCCCTCTTCTGGCCTGCAGACATACAGACAGAATATTGTATACATAATAAATAAATAAATATTTTAAAAAAGATTAAATTTTAAAAGGAGAAACCTCTTGAGAAAAAGAAATAACAGCTCATCCACAGAGATGACAATCATACAGATTAGGGAACCTCATAAGGGCTGGGGCAGGGTTTGGTTCTTGTCTTTCCAGGAAAACAGAAAACATCCATCTTTGGTAAGTCAAGAGACCTAGGACATCTAGATGCCCAAAGAAGAAAAGATAGCTGTCCAGAAAGAATCACCAAGTAAAAGGTAGACCTAAGAGCCAATGGGCTGGCTGCTTTGATTTTTTGGTCTTTGTGTTGAACACAAAAAAAAAAAACTAAATGGTTAACAGTGTGTTTAAAAATATGCATAGGCTTGGGAGAGAAAAGAAAAATAGAGAAAGTCCTTAAAAAAAAAGAAAGAAAGAAAAGAAAAAGGAAATAGAGTTGTCGAGCGTGGTGTCTCATGCCTTTAAACCCAGAACTTGGGAGGAGGCAGGAGTATTTTTGGGAGTTCAAGGCCAACCTGGTCTACAAAGTAAGATCCAGGACAACCAAAGATACACAGAGAAACCCTGTCTCAAAAAACCAAAAAGTAAAAATTAAAAATAAAAGAAATAGAGTAAGAAAAAAATGCCACATACAGATCTAAAATACACAAAGAATTTGGATACTATATGTTATTGTATTGACTTTGAGTTGTTTAACTGCTGAAGATGGAGCAACAGACTGCTACCTGAGATGATCCAGCCTCACAGACTACTCCAGTCTGAACTTGACCATAATCCTAAATTTTCTTTGGTTCACCATAAGATTATCAGTGTACCCAATCAGCAGGAAGTAGCCTAAAAAACTATGCCCACATTTCCAAAAAACAGATTATGAATGTTTGCCTTTGTTTAGAGCGCCGGTTACAAGTTGTTATGTTTAATGATCAGGAAAAAGTGAAACAAAGGATATCAGATTTAAGGTTTTTGTTTTAAAAAGAAAAAAGGGGGAAATGCTGTGGGATAATGCTCTTGTGCACTGTTAAGATTTGTCACTCATATTAGTTTAATAAAATGTCAGGCAGGAAGCAAAAGTGGGGCAACCACACTAGGAGAATTCCGAGAAGAGAAAAGGTAGAGACGCAGTCACCAGCCAAACGTAGAGAAAGCAAGATAAGAATGCCTCACTGATAAAAGGTACCAAGCCAAATGGCTAAACATAAATAAGAATTATGCATTAATTTAAGTTGTAAAAGCTAGTTAATAATAAGCCTGAGCTAATAGGCCAAACAGTTTAAAATTAATATATAAGCCTCTGTGTGTTTCCTTGGGACTAAACAGCTGCAGAACTGGGCAAGACAGAAACTTCCGTCTACAAATAATAATGTAATTCATATTTTACACATAAATTCCTTGAAATGGAATTCAAGTTAGCACATGGTCTGTTCTGTATTTAACTGACACTGTTAATTATGTTCACAAGCGAATACATCAATTTACATCCTTACCAACAGAAGATACACATGTACATTCCTTCCTTTTTTGTTCTACATTTTAAGAGCTGGGAACAAGGCAAAAAAGCAAAAATTTTCTGTCCCAGTGATCTTTATAATAAAAGAAAGTTAAAATCTCAATCTTTATTCTTTATATGACTTCTCTATTGTAGTAACTTTTCTGATCATATAATTACCACAGTCAAACCAAGTCTGTCCAAGCTCCATCTACCTGTTATGTTAGTCTCTGCCACAGTGGCAAAATACAATTTCAAAAACAAGTCCAAATATGAAAGATGGTAATTTTTAAGAATTGGGAACAACCTCGGTCCCTTCTTAAACGACTAAAAGAAAGAATGAACTGAAAGCACAAGACAGATCCTAGAAAATGATGAATGGCCAGAACACACAGGAGAGTGCACTGGTCCAAACAGCATGGAGAATTTATGCAAGTTGAGAGACAAATTATATGGCTTAACAGGTAGCTTCTAGCTCTAGTTTTTATCGACTATTTTATTCTTTTATTATTTTATGTGTTCATGTGTATGTGTGTGTGTATATACACAGAGTCCAGAAGATAGTGCTGAAGCTGGAGTTATGCTTGTGAACTGCCCTGTATGGGTGCTAGGAAATATCTCTGGGTCCTCTGGAAGAACAGCAAGCACTCCTAACTACTGAGTCATCTCTTATAACTGGAGGTTTCTCTCCTGCACATCAGTTCCCAAATAATCACTCTGAGACTTAATATTAGTTATAAATTGATCTATTAGCTCAGTCTTACTATTAGTGAAGTCTTACAACTTAAATTAAGCCACTTCTATTATTCTATACTTTACCACAAGGCTCATAGCTTGTTACGTCAAATCTTGCTTCTTTGGCAGCTACTGACATCTCCCTGATTCTACCTTCTTTCTTCCTGTATCTGTTTGGATTTCTGCCCTGCCATAGGCCAAAGCAGCTTCTTCATTTACCAACAGTTTAAAAAAAAAAAACCATATTCATAACATACAGAAGGGCATCCCACATCAATCTCTCTCTAGACCCTATACAGACTTTTTGATATTCTTGTGTCAAAAAAGGCTTGGCCTTTATTCATATGACTCAGAACAAATTATTTGTTTTGATCAGAGTCAACATTACAAAACTTCTAGAGCCGCCTGGCGGTGGTGGCGCACGCCTTTAATCCCAGCACTCGGGAGGCAGAGGCAGGCGGATCTCTGTGAGTTCGAGACCAGCCTGGTCTACAAGAGCTAGTTCCGGGACAGGCTCCAAAACCACAGAGAAACCCTGTCTCGAAAAACCGAAAAAACTTCTAGAGCCTAACTAACAATATTAGCTTATACAGCTCTCCAGTTTTCAGACAGGAAATGTACAACTCAGAGACAGCGATTTCCGTTAAGATCTCACTAAAAGCTGAGTTGTGAACCTAAGAAAATAGCTTGTCTCCTGATGGTCAAGCAAGAGTTCTCTTTTGCCATACTTTTAAAGACTGCTAAGAGTACAGAAAGGGGCTGGGAGTGGTAGCGCACATCTTTATCCCAGCACTCAGTTAGGGTTTATTTATTTATTTGTTTGTTTGTTTGTTATGTATACAATATTCTGTCTGTATGCCTGCCGGCCAGAAGAGGGCACCAGACCCCATTACAGATGGTTGTGAGCCACCATGTGGTTGCCAGGAATTGAACTCAGGACCTTTGGAAGAGCAGGCAATGCTCTTAACCTCTGAGCCATCTCTCCAGCCCCCTAGAAATTCTTAAGAGCAGGACTATTTGCTTTTCAGTACAGCATCCCTCGCACTAAGCAAACCAAATGGCCAACTCATTAGAATTACCTTCTTCCTAGTCAAGGCTGCGTTCTTTCCCTCAGACCCACTGGTC